AACCCCATTGCAGCAAAGCCATCCACTATGACCTGCACATTTCCCAGAGTCACTACCCTTGCTAGCAGAAGGTTACTGATTGCCTTGGCTACTTGGATCACAGCTGCCCCACAGTAGATTTGCCCACTCTGAATTGATTCCCAACTGACCAGTAGCAGTCAGGCATTGCAAGCTTCCACAGGGCTATCACCATTCGCTTCTCAACTGTCAGGGCAGGTCTCATCTTGGTCCTGCACTTCAAGGTGGGGAAAAGCAACTTACACAGTTCCATGAAAGTGGCCTTACGCATGTGAAAGTTTTGCAGCCACTGGGAATCATCCCATACCTGCAACGCTATGTGGTCCCACCAGTCTGTGCTTGTTTGCCGGGCCCAGAATCTGCACTCCACTGTATCAGCCTGCCCCACTGCCGCCATGATGTCCCAATTGCCCCATCACGTCCTTTCAGGAACGTCTGTGTCCATGTCCTCCTCACAGTGCTAGCCAGGTTCCGCACATACTGCAGGATAATGCGCAAGGTGTTTACAATGCTCACAACAGCAGTGGTGAGCTGAGCAGGCTCCAGGCTTGCTGTGCTATGGTGTCTGCATGGGTAACCCAGGGAAAAAAGGCGACGAAATGATTGTTTGCCGTTGCTTTCACGGAGGGAGGGAGGGAGGGAGGGGAGACTGATGACATATTCCCAAAACCACCCGTGACAATGTTTTTGCCCCATCAGGCATTGGGAGCTTAACCCAGAATTCCAATGGGCAGCGGGGACTGAGGGATAGCTACCTACAGTGCACCACTACATGAGTCGATGCTAGCCACAGTATTGAGCATGCACTTCGCCAACCTACTGCTCTTAGTGGGGACATACGTGATCGACTGTATAAAATCGCTTTCTAAAGATCGACTTCTATAAAATCGACCTAATTTAGTAGTGTAGACATACCCTTAAAGAAACCTTGTTAAGCAAGCAGTTTCAGTGGTCAAGCAGGAGGTTTCCTTCTGAATATTGATTAATCAGGTGTGTTGTTTTTTTCCCCAGAGTTTGCAGCCTAGAGGCCCCTAAAATGCATGTATCAGCAACTTCAACACAATTCTTATCAGGAAGGATGCGGGGTCAAGCTGTCCTTTTTGTGGCACCCAAAACCCCCTCCCCTCCTGCCTTGGTTAAGCTAAGCCTGCTGCATGGCCACTTTACGGCCTGCTGACTTGGCTTCTTTTAGCAATAAGTGATGGTGGTTTCAGGCACTTCACTGGTTTGCCAAAATTTCCCCGTACAAATGGGGCAAATTCAGCACTGGTGCAACTCCAATGACTTCTTTGGAGTTGTGCTTGTTTGTGTCACAGCTGAATTTGGCCCATTTACTTTAATGGAGTTGCATGTTTGTTACTGACAACAGAATTTGGCCCTCATGTGAATGGTATAAAGAAATGATAAACTTTGATTCTTTGGTTCTTCTTAACCCACGGTTATTTAGCACCTTTCATGCCAAAGCATTGGCAGGTGCCAGGTCCATAACAGAGATAGAGAAGTAAGAACACAGAAGTGGGTTTGATCCTGCAAGATTCTGAATACTCTGGCCTGATCCAGTAAAGTATTTAAGCCTATGCTTAAATTTAAGCCTGTTAAAGTCAATAAAACTTTGAGTGTGTGTTGAAGTGTTTTGCTAGATTGGACCAGAGTGCTTAGTACCTTGCAGGCTCAAGCCCACTTGCAGCATCTGTGAAGGGTGGGGCTTTAAAGTTAGTTTCTTTTACTGCAGTCCAGGAGATAGGATCACCTTTGTTTCCTGTAAGTTATAACCTGGTCTGTTACAGTAAGTGCTGCAGCAGTCAGAAGGAATGGATTTGAAGCTAGTCACTCTCTTTGCTGCTCTTGCATTTGTGATTGTCCAAACATCTGAGGGTAAGTCGTCCTGTACATTATATATTTGCTACATTTATAATAGGTTTATCTTTAAAAAAAAAAGGTGAAGTGTCTCTGTGTGGAATTGGAGCTGTTTTATATCCAGAGCACTGTGAGTAATTGGAGATTATTGCTTTTGGTTTTAATTTCTATACAGAAAACTGGGAGAACTTTAAGCATGACACCCTGACTCCA